ACACTTCTTAAACCATTCAGTTCTTACCATCAAAAATCAAAACAAAGCGAAAAAATAAAATGCTGACAATTTAATACCATAAAATTTGAAATTAATACAAATTTTAGGAAGCACATAAAATATCAAAAAAGGTAAAGAGAAAATTACTTGAGAGAGAGATCGATCCCTAGTCCTTAGGGAGGTAAAACGAGTATCCAGCCAGTGCACCACTTGGATTTATAGAGCATTGGTTCCCAAAGATAATATTAAACCATTTTTGTAAATTATGTACATGGAAAAACTCATTTGCCGGAAAGACCATGGGTTCACGTGAACCCTAATTAATAGGGTAGATCCACCCTTGATCAGACATGAAAAAACAGGTCCTGGAACCCCAAAGCACAATGGCGTAGCCAAAAGGATGAACCGCACCATTATGGAGAAGGTGAGAAGCATGCTTAGAATGGCTAAAGTGTCTAAGTCATTCTGGGGTAAAGCAGTTCAGACAGCCTGTTACCTCATCAATATGTGTCTGTTAGCTTCCGTTGACGTTTGACATCCCTGACAGAGTTTGGACCAACACGGAAGTATCCTACTCACATCTAAAAGTGTTTGGTTGTAGAGCTTTTGCACATGTACCAAAGGAGCAGAGAACAAAGTTGGATGATAAATCTGTTCCTTGCATATTTATCGTATATGGAGATGAAGAGTTCGGGTACAGATTGTGGGATCCTGTAAAGAAGAAGCTCATCAGAAGTAGAGATGTAATCTTCCTAGAAAGTGAAGTTGGAATTGCTGATGATATGTCAGAGAAGACAAAGAATGGTATAATCCCTAACCTTATTACCATTCCTTATTCTTCTAACTATTCCACAAGTGCAGAAAGTACGACCGACGAGGTTGTCGAGCAGGGGAGCAACCTGGTGAGGTTATTGAGCAGGGGAAGCAACTTGATAATGATGTCGAGCAAGTGGAGTACCCTACTCAGGAAGAAGAACTATCTCAACCTCTGAGGAGATCAGAGAGGCCAAGGATAGAGTCATGCAGGTACCTTTCCACATAATATATGCTCATCAGTGATGAGGGGGAACCAGAAAGTCTTAAGGAGGTGATGCCCTATCCAGAAAAGAACCAGTGGATGATAGCCATGCAAGAAGAGATGGAATCTCTACAGAAAAATGGCACGTACAAGATGGTTGCACTTCCAAAGGGTAAAAGAACACTCAAATGCAAATGGGTCTTTAAACTCAAGAAAGATGGAAATGGCAAGCTGGTCAGATACAAAACTCAATTGGTGGTTAAAGGATTCGAACAAAAAAAAGGTATTGATTTTCCCGAAATTTTCTCACCTGTTGTCAAAATGACTTCTATTCGAATAATTTTGAGCTTAGCAGCTAGCCTAGATCTTGAAATAGAGCAGTTGGATGTGAAAACTGCATTTCTTCATAGAGATTTGGAAGAGGAGATTTATATGGAGCAACCATAAGGATTTGAAGTAGCTGGAAAGAAACACATGGTGTGCAAATTGAATAAGAGTCTTTATGGATTAAAGCAAGTACCAAGGCAGTGGTATATAAAGTTTGACTCATTCATGAAAAGTCAAACATACATAAAGACCTATTCTGATCCATGTGTATACTTCAAAACATTTTCTGAAAATAACTTTATTATATTGTTGTTGTATGTGGATGGCATGTTAATTGTAGGAAAAGACAAAGGGTTGATCGCAAAGTTGAAGGGANTTGGTATATTCTTTTCTATCCTGTAGTTTGTAGTTTCCCTGAATCAAGCCAAGTATCACACCTCTTTCTACCCATCCTGTATATTGTCCCCTTTGTTCCGTGTTGAAATAGAACCTTAATTTATTACTTATTTTTTTATTAAATTTTAGATTTGTTAGTGATTAGATATTAGTATTAGACGAGATTTTACGAAACAATTATTTTTTTATTTCTTTATAGGAGAGGACAAATCTCTTTTTTCGATGCGAATTTGACACGACATAGGAGAAGCCGCCCTTTATTAAAAATTATATTATTTTAAATAATATAAAGGGGGTTCCAACATATTAATATATAGTGAAGTGTTCCCCCAGATTCAGAACTTTTTTTCAATACTCACAATCCTTATTAGTTAATAATCCTAGTGATTGGATTTCTATGCTTAGTCTGATAGGAAATAAGATATTCAAATAAATAATTTTATAGCGAATGACTATTCATCTATTGTATTTTCATGCAAATAGGGGGCAAGAAAACTCTATGGAAAGATGGTGGTTTAATTCGATGTTGTTTAAGAAGGAGTTCGAACGCAGGTGTGGGCTAAATAAATCAATGGGCAGTCTTGGTCCTATTGAAAATACCAATGAAGATCCAAATCGAAAAGTGAAAAACATTCATAGTTGGAGGAATCGTGACAATTCTAGTTGCAGTAATGTTGATTATTTATTCGGCGTTAAAGACATTCGGAATTTCATCTCTGATGACACTTTTTTAGTTAGTGATAGGAATGGAGACAGTTATTCCATCTATTTTGATATTGAAAATCATATTTTTGAGATTGACAACGATCATTCTTTTCTGAGTGAACTAGAAAGTTCTTTTTATAGTTATCGAAACTCGAATTATCGGAATAATGGATTTAGGGGCGAAGATCCCTACTATAATTCTTACATGTATGATACTCAATATAGTTGGAATAATCACATTAATAGTTGCATTGATAGTTATCTTCAGTCTCAAATCTGTATAGATACTTCCATTATAAGTGGTAGTGAGAATTACGGTGACAGTTACATTTATAGGGCCGTTTGTGGTGGTGAAAGTCGAAATAGTAGTGAAAACGATCATTTGATATGAAGGACTTGGGCCTAGCACAACAAATTTTAGGTATGAAGATAGTTCGAGAGCGAACAAGCAGAAAGTTGTGGCTATCTCAGGAGAAGTACATTGAACGTGTACTGGAACGCTTCAACATGAAGAATGCTAAGCCAGTAAACACACCTCTTTCTAGTCATCTAAAGTTGAGCAAGAAGATGTGTCCTACAACGGAGGAGGAGAAAAGGAACATGGTTAGAGTTACTTATTCTTCACCATTCGGAAGCTTGACATATGCAATGGTATGTACTAGACCTGATATTGTTCACACAGTTGGTGTTGTCAGCAGGTTTCTTGAAAATCCTGGAAAGGAACATTGGGAAGCAGTTAAATGGATACTCAAGTACCTGAGAGGTACCACGGGATATTGTTTGTGCTTTGGAGGATTTGATCCAATCTTGAAAGGCTATACAGATGCTGATATGGTAGGTGACATTGATAACAGAAAATTCACTACTGGATATTTGTTTACATTTTCAGGGGGAGCTATATCATGGCAGTGGAAGTTGCAGAAGTGTGTTGCACTCTCCACAACTGAAGCAGAATATATTGCCACTATCGAAGCTGGCAAAGAGATGGTTTGGCTAAAACGGTTCCTTCGAGAGCTTGGATTACATCAAAATGAGTATGTCATCTATTGTGACAGTCAAAGTGCAATAGACTTGAGCAGAAACACCATGTATCATGCAAATACGACGCATATCGATGTGAGATATCACTGGATTCGAGAAAGGATAGAGAATGGATCTATGCAGGTCAAGAAAATCCATACAAGTGAGAATCCTTCGGATATCCTGACCAAGGTAGTACCAAGAGACAAGTTCGAGCTATGCAAAGAACTTGTCGGCATGCACTCACACTAGAATCAGGTGTTACCTCCTTCAGGTGAATGGTACTGGAGGGGGAGATTTGTGAGGTCCATCCCATCAATTAAGGAAGACTTTTCTTCCTTGTTGGTTGTTTGCAAAGTTGGCAGCCATCAGCATTTGTCAAATATGGAAAGCGTGCAGGAGGAAAATGTCTAGAGTAGTAGGCGAGGCTCTACCTATAAAAGGAGAGCTTCAACTCTCATTTTTACATACCAATCTCAGAGGAAAAATATATCTGAGAGTTAGAAAAAAGAGTGAGGTTTCACAGATAGGGTATAAGAAAATAGTCTGTGAGAAAAATAGAGAGTGAGCAATATTGTAGTGAGGTGGGAATATTAAAAGAGGGTTATTTCTTTTGAGTGTTGTAGTGGTCCTTTGAGTATTTTACTTGGACCTACAAAGGGTAAAATTCCTTGCTATAGTGATATGAGTTGCTCCTCTCAGGGCCGTAGTTTTATCCCTTATTCAAAAGGGTTTTCCACGTAAAAATCTTGGTATCGTTGTTACCCTTTTATTCTTGTTAATTATCGTATCTCGGTATTATGTTATTATTCCGCTTTTATTACCGTAAATAGAGGGTTTATTCCCAACAGTACTGTTATCAAATTCCTACAAAAAAGAAGAAAATAGAAAAGTTGTTCTTACTTAGCTGTAAAACCATTCGAGAAATGAAAATGAATGTTAATTAAGTCATGCCTCACTAGCTACCATCAAATCTATATGCTGACAAATCCACAATAAACAATGAATTACCCTGAGCAATGTATTAATAGTTCAAACACTACAACATTTTAGGCCTTCAGCCACCCTTGAATAATGTGGCCTAAACTAGCATAAAGTGTGGCATTTGAGAAAAAGCCACACTTTTTAACTTTAGACGACGCTTTTAACGGAGTGGCCTAAGTTGGGGTAACCCTTGCCATAAGGCCACGCTTTTGAAGTGTTACTTGAAAAGCCATACATCAAAAGTGTGGCCTATAAGGTACAAAGATCACGCTTGTGCAAACCCTTATACTAACGCTTTTTAAGTCCTGCAACAACACTTTCAAAGTGTGGCTTTTGGAACCTTATAGGCCACATTGTTCAAGCGTAGCTAGAATCCATGTAAAGTGCTATTTTTTTATAATAAAATTATATTTCTTTAAATATACCAAGTAATCACATTTATTACCTAACATATATTACTAGATATTTTGAGATCACTGCTACGTATGAAGATCTCAAGACCTACATCAAATAACAAATAACAAAAAAGTTCAAATGCATACACTTATATATCATGTACTACATTAACTAGTAGCACCAACTGTTCAAAGGTGCAACCTAACAATAAACTAAAAATAAAATAAAATTATGTATCGTGATAACACTTTACACATATTAATCAATTTAAATTAGCATTTATTAGAAACCCCATTTGATATATCCTTAGCTACAAGTTTCTTTTCTAATACATGCCTCGTTTAACATCTTTCACATCATCTCCTGATTTTGTAACTGATCCATTTCTGTAAGCTTGACCACACCATTAATCTAATCAGCGTGTGAGGTTTTCTTGTTCAAACCCATAGAAATTTCTGAAGGTTTGTAAGCCTTAAGTTCCCCATTTGCATTTTCTTTATTCCCTTTAGTAACTCTGCCTTCCAATACCTGTAACTGAGACAAACAAAGATGCATTGTTTGTTATAGCTTACAAATAATGTGAAATTGTTTATCTCCATTTCAGCTTCCAATATATATTATGAGATGAGAACCCTTTTCCCCCACAACTTCGTAAGCTGCAAACAAATGAAAGAAAGACCACAAACAAGAGAGGGATGGATGGAGGTAGTACGATCTACCTTTTGATACAAACTGAAAAGAAACTAAAGAGATGTCTTTTTCTCCAAATCTCATAGACCGAGCAATTTTCTTAAATGAGTGGAACTGCTTTTCAGGCACATAAATATTTTCCTGATACACCTGCATGAGTTCCACAAAATATAAGAGGCTTACAATTTGAGAATTAATTGCACAATACTCCGGAATGAAAAAATTGTGACCCCCCTCAAACAAGTGCAGAATCGCTGGTAAATTCCCATGGAAGTAAAATAATTTCCATAATCTAGCAAAGAAGCATCTAGAAGGAAATAAACTCACTTCGTCCGCCAAAAGAACGAGGCCTTCTTTCTTGCAGAATTCCACAATAGCTCGTTGGTTGGTCTCAGCAAGAACCTAAGGTATACATAGAAGCTATTCATGCTATATGTAAATATTCTGAAATTTTATTGGGAAAGGGAAGGCCAGAATTTTCCACCACAGTTGGTTCTTCCTAAATGATGAAAATCAATGATGAGATTCCAAAATCTAATAAACCATTACCTACCCCGTTGGGTTTCCTGGATTAATCACAACCAAAGCCCTAACTTTAATACCCTTAGATTTTGCAGCTTTCAGCTGATTCTCAAGCTCTGAGATCCCTAGTCCCCATCATATTTCTTCATCAAGATAATAGGGAACCTAAAATACCAGATAAAAGCATACATAAGAGGCTCCCGTGTCATCTTCAACTAAATAGTAAGCCAATCATGCCAGCTCTCATTAATAAACGCTTATAATAATCTCTTCCAGAAGTAGGTTAATCTAGCCTATGAAGGCCAACTATATAACTGGCACTGATCGACTTTAAATTGAAGCAAATGCACGTACGAGAGTGCCACCATGGAGGGAAATTGAAGCGGAATAAAATGGATATTGGGGGATGGGACAGAGAGTTCTATCATTCTATGAACGACTGCATCATCATGTGAACCCGAATAAAGGATGAAGAACCAACATTATTGACACCAGAACCAATTGTATCACGTAATCCTTTGACGCCCTAGAGTTAAGCAAACACAAAAATAGGTTCTAGGAGTATACTGGCTACAAATCTAGGACATTACAATAGAAGATATTGTCACCTGACTGTGGTTGTATGCACATGTCGCTCTGCCAGGAATTTGGTCGAAAGGATCTGGAAAGCTCATTCTATTGAATTCGTACTACAAAGCAAAGAGAGAATGAAAGACATCAAATAACAATTTCTTGTAGTTTCTGACTGGTTCTATTAGACGTAGTTCAGAAATCACCCTTTTCTTATCATAGGTAGCAGGACAAATGCAATTTAGACCACAAAATCCTATAGAACATGGCTGAAATTGATTCAAATTCTTCACCATACTCCTTTACATTGGTGACCGATGTTCCAACAAATGTCCAGGCAAAAGGTTTTTGCTTCTAGTTGGGTGTAAAGTCATAATCAATACCATGGTATTTAGGAAAAGGAAAAGCTCAAAGAAAGAACCTATCAACTAAAACATACAAGCTTTTGAATAACAAAAAGTGAGTGACTATAATTCAATAATAACACTACATTGCACTGATTTCACAGAATAAGGGAAAAGTAAGAGTTTGATTATAGCCACTTGCAATTTTTTTTTAAAATACCGGATAATATCTATACAGTAAGGGTGTTAATCAGGTCGGGCTGACCCGTTTTCAACCCGCTTCAACCTGGGTCAGCCCGGTTCAGCCCACTACTGTTCATTAATGGACTGGTTGGGACAAATATTTTAGGGGGCGGGTTATGGACGTTCACGTTTAGCTTAACGGTGGCCCTGACCCCTTGAACCCGAATTGTCTTAACAGGCTAAACACGGGCTGTAGCCCGTTAGCAGCCCGGTTACTGTTGGATTTTTTTAAAAAAAATTTAATTGGACCGTTCCCAACGGTCAAATTGAGAAATGAACGTTGGGGAACAACCTGAAATTGCAAAAATTGCCAATTC